TTTTTTTTCTTTCTTTTCTTTTCTACTGAGGTCTACCGGTTGAGAATATACTTGCACTAAAAACGATCTAGAAGAATGATCTTCGAATATTGAAGAAATTTCCGCATATTCTTTTCACCATTATCGTGATACAATATATAGTCTGTGCCCTGCTGCATACTGCTCAAGGTACTCTTGCGGTAGATGCCGCTTTCTGCCTTTTGGACATTCTTTTCCAAAGTATTTAACTTGTGTGCCTTTGTGCATTGGGTCAAAGGCAGCGAGTTTCCCATTTTCCGCCCTTCCTATTTTTTCCTTAATACAATCACATCAAAATATCAACATTTGCATTATTCAGGTGCGCGATACTTATCTATCGGATGCTTCACGAGAACGACTAGGATTAGCGCTATCGGATTCCGTGCTCAATCTTTCACTTGATCTGCGATCGCCTTTTGCAGCTTTACTACATTCCATTCAACTTGTCAATAATCTCGCATCCATTTTCGATTATCGGTTACCTTATACGGTAAGTGCTGTTTTTGGCCCTTATCTTTTGTCAAAGGTTAACTCTTTTCCAGATATCTCACCACGAAATCTCATTACGGGAACGTTGGAGTCGAGAGCTTTTGGATAACGATTGGTATGTTTTCACTTTACTTTCGATTCGTAACTTCTCCCTCTAGCATTTATATTCAGGTTCAAATTCTGCCAATCTGTACTAGCTTTTGGTCTTTATCTTGGCATGCCTCCAGAAAGTCTTCATTTCAACTGCCCACATTCTAACATAATCGAACAAGCCCGGTTTATCATGGAGGGTGTGACCATACCCAAGGTAAGCAGCAATTGCATTCCAAAATTATTCAAAATAATATTCTACTTTTTAGCCCCAACCCATCATAATAGCGCCCAATCATCGATTTGAAACTAGCGAAACGCCACCACGGGTAAATGTCAACGATCATGAACTGGTATGATTTAGTCGTTAGTTGAATGCCAAGTTCAGTGGTGTTTATTTCAGATTTCTGATTGGGATACCTGTGAAGATCTTGACATAATACATGCAAAGGGTCAACTATTGTGATTACTGTACATAGCATAAATTTTCAAATGCGATTTTCTACCAGATCTTGCAAAAAAAAAAGAAATCGAAATTACCCCTATGGATGATTTTTACAAGATGCGATTAGGGTTATTGCGGGTGTTGTCGGCGGTCTCGCTCTCCTTGGAAGGTTTCAAAACCATCGTCCACTCGAATTTGAGTCTGGGATCTAACACTACGGTAGCGGGATCACTGAATAATGTTCGCAACCCCACCGCAGTAGGCGAAGATTAGAATCTGCAGAAAATGGGTGTGGCAGGGGTCGACACGCCTATCAACGTAGATAACCTCTTTTGAGCTCGAAATCGGAATCTTAGAGTCTCCAGAGTCGACAATCTCATCACCATAAGCAGCAGATTTTCGACATCTATGGATAATTTTAAGCTCAGTTGCTCAGTATTCAGACCATCCGTGTTGATGGGCGTGTCGACCTCTGCCGCGTCCACTTTGTAGAGCAATTTTTTATCT